ACTGTGTGGATATCTCATTACCCTTTCACGCGGAGCTCCCAGAAAACTAGAGAGCTGGGGTCCTCTAAGCAAAGGAGAGGTCAAGCCTCCTTTCCCGGAAGGAATGGATGAAGCGAAGAGGGCTCAGGGAGAGATGTCATGGGTAGCTTCGTGGACCACCTGAACAGGGAGAGCTGGGGTGCTCTCCCGCTCCCATTTCCCCAGCGCCATCTCCCCGAGAGCAGAGAGCGACCGTTTCAGGCGACAGGCTGGGATGCTGGGGCAAACGACCAAAGAGGGGCCCTAGGCGTCTGGGGTCCCGGGACGGGCTGACCCAACAACTGAGGGCGGTGTCTGGAAGTCCGGGCTCCGGGAGGCGGGGTCTGAGGCCGCCAGCGTGCCGGGAAGCTGAAGAAGAACGTGAGAGCCCGGACTCCGGCTCGTAGGCCCCGAGAAGCCTGGGTGGCCGACCCGGATCCCGCTCTCTGGGATCCCGCACTCACCTCTCGAGGGTCTCACTACAAGGTTTCCGCTCTGTTCCGGCCTCCAGTCGGGAATTCCCGCCCCCTCCCCATCGTTTACCCCTCCCCCCGCAGCTGCGGCGTACCGACCCCCCCAGCGGCCAATGACAGCGCCCAGAGGGCGGGGCCAGACTGGGAGTGACGTGAGCTAGGAGCAATCAGAGACCAGCAGCCAGAGCCCGGCTGAGCCGAAGACAACCGGGGCGGGGCAAGGGAAGGGAATGAGGAGAGCACCTAGGGGCTGAGGGGCTGAGGGGCTGAGGGCCTGGGACGCTTTGGTGGAGGTCTGACCGGCGAACGTGGCCGGTCAACGAAGTCTTTCGATCCTTTGAAGATTCTAAAAGAGGAAGCTAGAAACCCCGCGGTCAAGGCTGGTGCTCCATACCCAACCCCCGCATTCCCAAGTCTTCCGCCTCCCACATCTCTGAGGATATCTGCTTGGTCTTGGGCCGAAGTCTTCTTATCTCTCTTAGAAGATTCTAAGATCCCCTTCTGTGCACCTGGGCACCAAAGGGAAAGCATTCCCTTCTTAGGACTGACTTTCTTTCTTGACTCCCTCGCCAGCACCTACAAGGAAGAAAAAGGACAAGGAAGAATTGGAAAAGGGGAATAGCAAAGTGAGAGTATTTCTTGAAAATCAACCCTTCTTGAACTACCAATGGCCGGAGCTGACTTCCCTGCAACCTTCTGCCTGCAAGTGGGTAAAAAAGTGGTGGGACCCTTCTCAGAGGTTGCTGAAACCCCACTCAGTGAGGAGCTTCTCTCGGCACACTCCAGCTTATCACCCTTACCGTGCCTTGATGCATCTGGCCAGGGTTCTCCCCAGTCTAATCTGGAACTCTCCAACTTCTCTCCCTTCAGCCCTGTTGGCCTCCTTTCTGTTTTCTGTTCCTTGAATGAACCAAGGTATTTTCGACTCTGGACCTTCACTGCTTCCTTAGCCTGGATTCTCTTGGCCCACATCACTGTGCTATCCGAATCCTCTTCTAGTCTCATGGGAGGGTAGGGTGCAAAGGAGGAAAATGAAGGGGGGGGTCAGTCTATTTTTTTTTGCAAATGTGAAAAGGCCTCACCTAAAGAAGGGACAAGGTGATACCTCTGAGAAGGCTCTGGAAATGCAGGCCAGCAACTTCCTTAAGAAAAGGGACTATCAGGACTTCTTGGTGGAGGGGGTCTAGGAGAAAAGAATCATACAGGATTCTAAGATCAGGATGTAAGTGAAATGTGGTATTGGTGTCCTGTCACTTAATGAAAGTATCGTTGCTGTTCCAAGCTCTTCATTAAAAGATAAAAATTACTGGGACTCCCCTGGTGGTCCAGTGGGTAAGACTCCACGTTCCCAATACAGGGGGCCCAGGTTCGATCCCTGGTTGGGGAACTAAGATCCCACATGCTGCAGGGCAACTAAGCCCACGTGCCACAACTACTGAGCCCACACACTCTGGAGCCCACGCGCTGCAACTAGAGAAGCCCATGCACCACAACAAAAGATCCCGCCTGCCACAACTAAGACCCGACACACCAAATTAAAAAAAAAAAAAAAAAAAAAGTCCGGGGCTTCCCTGGTGGCGCAGTGGTTGAGAATCTGCCTGCCAATGCAGGGGACACGGGTTCGAGCCCTGGTCTGGGAAGATCCCACATGCCGTGGAGCAACTAGGCCTGTGAGCCACAGCTACTGAGCCTGTGTGACTGGAGCTTGTACTCCACAACAAGAGAGGCTGCAACAGTGAGAAGCCCGCGCACCGCGATGAAGAGTGGCCCCTGCTCTCTGCAACTAGAGAAAGCCCTCGCACAGAAACGAAGACCCAACGCAGCCAAAAATTAATTAATTAATTTTTTTTTTAAAAAGTCCGTATATTGCAACTAAGAAGCCCACATGCCACAACTATAAGCCCACATGACCCAGCAAAGATCCCATGTGCCGCAACTATGACTCAGCTCAGCCAAAATAAATAAATATTTTAAAATAAAAAAGATAAAAATTACTATTAGGGAAAACTCCAGATTATTCAAGGGAATATTATGCATGCATTGGTTTGTCTGTCGCAAATTATGCTTTCAAGATTATTGTTAATTAGTAAATTAACAAGGAATCACGGACTGGGAGTCAGGACACTTGGGTTCTAGTCCCAGCTCTACCTTAATTTGATGTGTGATCTTAGGCAAGTCATTTTCCCTCTTAGGAGCTTGATAAATCAGGTGGAAGAGGGAAGTTAGACTAGCAGATGATGCCAGAGTTTCCATCCAATTCTAACAAAGGCTGAGAGCAGTCAGCCCTCCCTATTCACAGTTGCGGAACTGCTACTGTGAATACAGAAGGCTACCTGTACTACATCATTTTACTTAAGGGACTTGAACATTTGAGGAGTTTGGTGTCCAAGGGGCACCTATCCCCCACGGATAAGCAGGGATGACTGTATATCTTCCACTTAATCATCTCTACACGTGCAGCCTGCAGGAAGCCCTTTGAAAACTTTCTTCCTCTAGGAAAGATCTCAGCAAGGACAGCTCTGCTTTCCTTAGAGCTCTGCATGAATCTAGGAAGCCTGCTTTGTCTCCTCACTACTTGAGCAAGATGCGGGGAGATGAGCAGGAAAGCCAGAGTGGGAAAATTTGAGAAAGCCCCAGGAAGGTAGCTTCGTATAGTGCAAAGAATATGGGCTCAGGCATCCAAATCTTGGTTCAGCTACTTACAAAGTGTGAATGAAAAATGTTGCCTGCCACATGAGTAAACAAAGGATGTTGCAGCCATCAAGCCACTACAGGCACCTGGTAAGCCCAGAGAGAACTCAGGATGGATAGGAATGGGCTGCCCTGCTGCCAAGCCCTCAGCCACTGCAGCCACCCCAAAAGGTGTGCCCTGAGGGACTTGGGATGGGATAGAACAGGAAACTGGCCCTAGAGAGCTAAGGTGCAAATCAAAGGAATAATTTCAGTGAGCCCAGGCTCTTACATTTTCCCATACATATAGAGTGCTAACTTCATTAACTTGAGATATCTGGTTTTCTTTAATTAATAATAATCCTTTGATGTTCCTAATACCTGGTCTTTGTTGCAAAAACTCCTGTATATCCTGGTTCCTCCTTTACCTCTTTGGAGCAGTCCCTTAGAGCTGTCTGAGAGGCTGCCTCCCAGGCTTGAAGTCCTCAGAAAGACTGCCAAATAAAACAAAATTCTCAACTTTTAGGTTGTGCAATGTTTTTCAGTCAACAAGAGTAATCTTGAGAAAGTTACTTAACTTCTTTCTGCCAGCTGTGAGTTGTTATGAGAATTATATGAGTAACATGAAAATACCTGACCATATATCTGTTACTCAATAAATATTAGATCCTGTTCTTGTCTTTACCGTCAGCCCATTTAAATTTTCACGGGAAGAACACCAGTTTGAACTCTGGATCCACAACCCAAAATTCTGTGCTTTATTCACTCAGCTATCCTTTATCTGAAGTACTGCTGGGGAGGCAGGCAGATGAAAAATCATACCTATATCAAGTATTATCCTATATCCATTATTTTATTTAAAGTGAATTCCTGGGTCATCAGTCTCTGGACCAAGGCAAAATGCCCTGAGTTTCGGTATTACTACATTCTAGTCACGTATCTGTCTTCTCATTGGTAAAGTTAGTAAAACATTACCTGCCCTGTCTACCTTAGCGCTGTTGTGTATTAAATGAGGAACAATGCTTATAAAAAACATTTTGTAAACTATGCAAATGCAGGACACATATTGCATATTGTCGTTGGTAATCATACGCAAAAAATAAGTCATTCCCAAACCAAATCCGAATGATTTTTTAACCTCTTGCAGTTTTCTAGGCCCTTGTCCCTCCGTTAGTTAACAGAGAGTCCTGTGAGTGTGCGTATATAAATGCTGTTCTTTATCAGTAACATAATGCATGGATTACGGATTTGGACAACCTGCGATTGCGCGACTTTCCGCCCGCTGAGTGAGTCAAAGTGCTGTCACATAACTTGGGTCAACAGGTTATTTACTCCCTAACACTTTGGAGTCACGTGGCAAGTGAAACCAAACCAAGCCTTAGCCCACATTCCGGAAGTTCCCCCGGCGCCCCCCGCCTCCACATACCCCACCCCTTCCCTACAGTAAGTCTTCTGGCTCTTACCCTCCCTCAGAACCAAATCCCTGCCAGACAAATAAGTGCTCCGGCCGCATTGGCCCCACTCCTTCTCTGACAGCCCATTCCGACCAGTTACGGCGAAGCCTGCCTCGAGACGGTAATCCCATTGGCTCAATGCACTACCCCTCAAAACCTCTGGATGTCTTTAGCGTCCAATCAGACTCAAGTGTGGGAAGAGCACCACGGGGTGGGGGAGGGGATGCCTCTGTCAGTCTTCGGCAATCCTATGGACTCTTTCCTCCTTTGTTTTCAACCCCGCCGTGGTCTCCCGCCTGTAAAACTGACGTCCAGAGGACAGGCACTCAAGCGTCCTGTGCTCCAGTCACAGCCATCTCTATCCTTCCCTGAGGAGCCAGCAAACCCTCAGGAAGATTTGCTGTCGCTAGGAGAAACTGAGGCAGAAAGGGCAGGCTGCTGTTTTAAGACCGGTTTGTGCACGCTCCTCCTCTTAACCCCCTGCTCCAGCTACTGCGCCCCTATCGTGGCTCCTGGCTAGGTGCAACCCACTTACGTAGTGTAAGGCTGGGGGCGGGGTTTGGCTAGGCAGGTCCAGGATGCGAGATCCTGGAGGAAAGAAAAGGTGTAGTGTTTGGGGCCGTCAACGAGCTAGGCTGGCTTGGCAGGGCTGGGCTCTTCGGAACAGGTAATACCCAGGGGGGTGCCTGTTGGTCTGAACCAGAGAGATAAGGCCGAAGGCGAGAGCTCCGGGTGACAGGTGAGGGGGCTGCACAGGTGAGGAAGGGGGATAATGGAAGAGGGAGAGGAGCCCAGAAACTGGGGGGTGGGGGAGGGGGAGAGCCATCATTCTCCTTCTGCAACTGCCCCCCTCCCCCCCCCCAAAGCCTCCCCGCAGAAGCATGGATTTCAGAACCCCTGACCTGCTGGAAATGTGGCTGGAGCCTCCAGAAGACGTCTTCTCAACAGGATCCTTCCTGGAGCTGGGACTCCATGGTCCACCTTCAGAGGTCCCAGTAACTAGGCTACAGGAACAGGGGCTGCAAGGCTGGGAGTCCAGTGGGGGCCATGGCTGTGTGAGTGTGATGAATGGGACTGGGTGTGGGTTGAGACAACTCTGTGATAAGAAGTCCAAGAGGCTTCAGCTTCCACTTAGAGGTCTGAAGACAGAGCCCCTAAAATAGACATGAGCTGTAACTATCCTCCTGTCCAAGGACAGAAGGGACTGAAACTGAAGCACGAAGGATCTAGTTTTGACGTTAGATAGGACTTCCAGAATTCTTCCTTAGACACATATACACCCTCTTCTACTGTAGGGTCTTCAAGAGAGTGAGCCTGAAGATTTCCTGAAACTTTTCATTGATCCCAATGAAGTGTACTGCTCAGAAGCATCTCCTGGAAGTGACAGTGGAATCTCTGAGGATCCTCGCCATCTGGACAGTCCCCCTGCCCCCAAGCCACCCAGTTCCCCTGCCCTCTATGAGGTTGTCTATGAGGCAGGGACCCTAGAGAGGATGCAGGGGGAAGCTGGGCCAGCTGTAGGGCTCATCTCCATCCAAATAGGTCAGTGTTCTTTGTGGGAAGCGGACAATGGCCCTTCAGGTCCAGCCCTAACCCTGGGGTTAAGGGAGTTTCCCCAATCTGTGCCACTACCCAGGGCCTGCGGCCATCCATCTCCTTTCTCCCAGCCACCTATGTTTCCTTCAGATCAGTGGAGCCCACCATTTATGGTGCCTGATGCCTGTGTGGTCAGTGAGCCGCCTCCCGATGCTCATGCCCACATCCTGCCCAGAGCAGGCACTGTAAACTCAGTGCCTCCTGCAGCCCTGGTGAGTCCTGGGGGTCAGCTGGGTTCAGTACTCCTTGATACACAGAACTGGGGAGAAGTGGATGAGGGAGGGGAAAACTGATGCTGAACACTGTCTTTGCCCTAATTTTTGTGGCATCAGGCCTGAATGCCAGGGAGATGTGGGTAACTTTAAAAGCAGGAAAAGACAAGAGAGACAGAATCCCTTGGGGGTAAGGGGGTGATGCCTCAGTTAAGGAGAGGGTGGGCTGAGGGAATCCAGGGATAGGGTTTGGAGAAACCCTAGACCCATGAGCACTGTCTGCTCAGCTAGGGCCATCGTCTCGGCTTTGGGTCAGGATGTGGAAATGTGACAGGCCACCTGGGAATCCAACTGGTTACTGGGCACAGAATGTAGAAGCAACTGCAACTACGTTTTTTACTGGAACAGTGGTTCACCAGGCACCCACTGCCCATGGTTACAGTGTAGGGGAGTAACACATCACATATCTTCCCAAGGCTAGCTGGGCTGGTTCCTGCAGCGGGGATGAGGAGGGGGTCTTGCTCAGGTCACTGTTCCTCCCTTTATCCTGAAAAGAACTCCTTGTGTGCAAAAGGCAGGGAATAAGTTCTAGCCTCCCTGAAAATCTGTGGTTGAAGCTGAGACCAGAAGCCAAGCCAAGCATCTTAGAATCTTGGGCTGAGAAATCTTAAAAAGTCTGAGGCATCTAAATTTGAGTGTGCATCAGAAACACTGGGGAGTTTGTACTGGACCACCAGGGAAGTCCTGGTTTCGTTTGGTTTGGTTTTTGGTTTTGTCCCTGGTGGCGCAGTGGTTGAGAGTCCGCCTGCTGATGCAGGGGACACAGGTTCTTGCCCCGGTCCGGGAAGATCCCACATGCCGTGGAATGGCTGGGCCCGTGAGCCGTGGCCGCTGAGCCTGCGTGTCCGGAGCCTGTGCTCCACAATGGGAGAGGCCACAACAGTGAGAGGCCCACGTACCGCAAAAATAGAGAAAGAAATAAAATAAAATAAAATAAAACCCTCTAGGGGAATTCCCTGGCAGTCCAGTGGTAGGACTCTGCGCTTCCACTGCAGGGGGCACGGGTTCCATCCCTGGTCAGGAGCTAAGATCCTGCAAGTCGCACGGTGTGGCCAAAAATACATACATACATACATACATAAATACCTCTAGACCTCATTTTTAGAGATTTTGATTAGGTGGATTGGGAGGGACACCCCTCTAATGATTCACCAAATGGTCACAGAGGCAAGAAGGGAACATCAGAATAAGGCAGAGATAGAAGTGGTTTAGCTAAAAGCCAAAGACCATCAACAGGCAGAAGCAAATTCCTCTTGAGTCACAAAGTGAAGCATAAATCTTTCAAAAACAAGTATTAGTTAGAAAAGCAAGTTACTCAGTTGATGGGCTCACATTAACCAGACACCTGTCTATGTTCCCCACATACTTTGTTATGAGAAGTTGTTCAGTCTGGTTGCCTTTGGGGAATTCTTTGAGAGGGGACAGAACTTCAGTCTGAAAGGCAGGGCTCAGCCCCTAGGGGAGGATGGGCCATCACCCCAGGGATCTCCTTGTGGTTGGCAGGTAATGGTAACACTGTGCCAAGCTGAAGTTAATGGCTGACAATGAATCATCTGCCTGCTGTAAGATCAAGCAAACCCTACCTTAGTGAGTTACTCCACATCCTCTTCCAATACCCACAAGGTCTGCACAAATGTGGACCAGAATGGGCCCTTCCTAACTTGCTGTGATTGCCAAGGTCTTAAGTCTGTGGGCAAAAATATGACAAAACCACCTTTCTCCCTTGTCAGCCTCAGGAAGTCCCTGTGGTTTAATCAACAGTCTGTCTGCATTAAGGTCCCTGCCCCTCATCTCATTTTACGGTTTGTTATTCCTCAGTGCAAATAGGAAACACTCTCCAGGAGGCATGCAAGGGGAACAGCATGAGTACTGAAAATGGGATGACCCTCTCTCCATTCTCATCTTCTCTCGTCCCCCACCAGCTGCCCTGTCAAACCCTGTTCCTGACAGAAGAGGAGAAGCGTCTGCTGGGACAGGAAGGGGTGTCCCTACCCTCTCACCTGCCCCTCACCAAGGTAACATGCTTCCCCAAAGGGTATCGTAACCCAGCGGCCCTACCATGGCCTCTGAGGAGCCAGGATAGCAGGGGAAGAGTTGAGGAGTTGGGGGAGGTTAAGGAACCAGGACTGACACACCCTGGGCCCCCAGGCAGAGGAGAGGGTCCTCAAGAAGGTCAGGAGGAAAATCCGTAACAAGCAGTCAGCTCAGGACAGTCGGCGGCGGAAGAAAGAGTACATCGATGGACTAGAGAGCAGGTATGTTTCGACTCACATTTCTGGATTCACGACTGGGCCCCCTTCCTCACCAAGGCAGGTAAGGTCAGGGACTCATGATTACAGAGCCTTATCCTACCTTTCCACCCTTCCTAGGGTGGCTGCCTGTTCTGCACAGAACCAGGAACTACAGAAAAAAGTCCAGGAGCTGGAGAGGCACAACATGTGAGTGAAAACATAGTATATGTATTGGGGTAAGGGTGCAGCACACAGGGATACCATCCTTGGGCCCTGGTTCCCAGATCTAACTCTTCATTCCTCATTTCCCAGCTCCCTGGTGACTCAGCTCCGCCAGCTGCAGATGCTTATTGTTCAAACCTCCAACAAAGCTGCCCAGACTAGCACTTGTGTTCTGGTACCATTAATCTATTTCCCATCTCCCCTGCCACCTCCTCCATCTTCTGCCAGGTTGCCATCCTGATGCCCCCACTCCGTAGCCAGACCTATCTTCCCATCCCTGATGACCCCAACTGCCCCCTAGTCACTCTGCCCTCTGCTCCCTTTCCTTATTGTCCCCACAGCCCAAATGTCCTCTTGCTTCTTCCCAGATCCTTCTTTTCTCCTTGGCTCTCATCATCCTGCCCAGTTTCAGCCCCTTTCAGGGCTTACCAGAAGCTGGGCCTGAGGATTACCAGCCTCATGGAGGTGAGAGGCAAGGGCAGGAAAGGACTCTGTTTTCCAGAGTAGTCAAGAAGTGGGAGGGAGGTCCTGTTTTGTCTAGGATCCCCAACCAAGGGAGCACTATTCTACTGCCCTTTTTCCTTCACCCCACAGTGATTTCCAGAAACATCCTGACTCACAAGGACATGACAGAAAATCTGGAGAATCCAGCGGTGGAGTCCAGATTGGAGGGGCCACCTGGGGTCAAGGGTGTAAATGGCTCAACAAGGACACTGCTTGAGAAGACAGGAGGGAGGCCAGGCCCCAGCAGGCACATCAGAACTGTGTTGCATGCAGATGAGATGTGAGCTGTAACACTTCCTGGCCCACTTCCCAATCACAATAAGGAATCCAAGGCTCCGCTGGCTGTGGTTCTGCTTCCTCCTGGGGTTCCCACTCAGGGCTCTTTGGCCTCAGGGGTCTGAATCACATCAGGATGCCCTAGATGTCTGTACCCTATGGCTCAGTCTGCCTATGTCAAGGGGCACCTCAAATACTTTTGTCATGTATCTGTGATTTTATTTCTTCTTTGGGGATAGGGTTGAGGGGAAACTCACATTTTGGCTGAGAAATAAATTTTTTTTTTGCTAAAATTGTATCCTGACAGTTTTAAGTAATAGTAGAACAGGGAGGAAGATAGGTACCTGGTAAACTGGGGCCTAAAGTTGCCACCCCCTTTCCCTCTCTACCCCCATGACTTCCTGCCCCAAACCAAATTACACTAGGGAAGGAAATGATTTTACTCTTTTTATTCTGCTCATTAATGATTTAGACGAGGAAGATGGGAGAAAGGGGGTGCCACCACAAGGTTCCAGAGAACCAGGGGCACGAGTCAGTTCATTCCCCTTTCTGTCTGAGGTAGGGTCTCTAAGACCCAGATGAAAAGGGAGGAGGTAGCTATATGGACTCAATTTGCTTCCGGACCTTTTCCAGCGCCTTTCTGTCCAGTTGTCGCTGACGAACAATGACAAGGCAAGCAAAGACCAAGGCCACACCTATGACAGTCCCTTCGAATTTCCAGAATAAGTGTTGTTCCATCAGAGCTGAGCGGCAGCTGAGGGCAAGAAGAAACAGTTATCCCCAGGGAAGGCCAGACTGCCTCTCCCTCTAATCTCCCTCCTGTTTCATCCTCACCAAGATATATCTGAGGAGAAAAGAGGAAACCAGCGTCAGCCTTCTAAAGTGTTGACAGTACAGGGACTTCCCTGATGGTCCAGCGGTTAAGACTCCGCACTTCCACTACAGGGGGCACAGGTTTGATCCCTGGTCCGGGAACTAAGATCCAGCATGCCGCATGGTGCGGCCAAAAATAAAAATAAAGTGTTTACAGTACATTAATCCATTCAAATATTTATTTTCTGGTGAGATAAGCAGAGCTGGTATTAACCAGTTTTAATGATGAGAAAATATGGCCAATGATATAGTGCTGAGGAGTAGAGCTGGGACTTCGGTTCAAGTAATTTGCCTCCAAATCCCCTCCTCTTTCCAATATGCCATGCTACCTCCATACAAAGAGGAAGAGGCAGGACTATCTACCTAAAGTCACAAAAGCAAAGTAGGTGATCTAGGAGGATTCAAGAAGAGAAACAGCACTTGCCTTTTGAACTCGCTCCTCTTAGTTGAGCTGCATGTGATTTTCTCCACATACCCTGTGGAACCACACTCGGGGGTGGTTTTCTGCCAGGAGGAAAGGACCAAAGCACTTGTTAGGAAGGGGCAGCAGGAGAAACAGGAAGGCTGCCATTCAGAATGGGCAGGTGTCCAAGTGCTACGGCTCAGAGCTGGTAGGCAACAGAGAACTAATGAAGAGTTCTCACGGGGGTGATGAGGTGGTGGTTACAGGATGAGAAGTACGTGTTACTCAGAACACTTCAGGGTCAATAGTCTACGAGAGGCAAGGGCAGGTTCTAGAACCTACTAGATTAAAAATGAACAGAACACGGTTATTAACTGAACGTTGCCATTAACTTGGAAAGAAAAGGGCACATTTTCAGGGGGACGGCCAGTTCAGATTTGGACACACACTGAGACTGCAAGGAAAAAAGACGAAAAGACAATGCAAAGGCATACTTAGATAGACAGTCCCTGTCTGATTCGATATAAGGGGAGAGAAAACAAATACTCACAGCCTGGAAATTAGAACATGGAGCACACTCTTCCGCCACCACAAACTCTTCCACCAGCCAGCACGGCAAATTTGAGGTGCTCACTAGAGAGGGAGAGAAATGCAAGCCCCAGACCTCGTTCAGAAAATATTTCTCCCCTAAGTTCTGCCCATCAACTTCCCAGCACAGGTGAATGCCCTCGCTCCACGTGGTGCCGCCCTTTTCCACCTGATCTCTAGGTATATGGGAGGAAGTCAAAACAAAACAAAACAACTGTAGGGGCGTCGGGTTCCCAGACCATCACCCACCTGACAGCTTCTCCTCCCGCACAGGAGCTTCTGCTTGGCTGAAGCGGGTGAGGGGGGGAAATGGGCAAAAGTCAGAAGCCGGAAAACGGGGAACCTCCCCCCCCCCCCCCCCCCACCTCCACGGTCCAGGGACACAGGGGGCGGGGACGATCCGATCCTCCCGTCCCCTCCTTTTCCCTGCCCTCAGCCCCTCCTTACCAGAGCCTTAAAGTGAAAGCGCAGAGCAACCAGCAGAGGTGGCGGCCCTGGGGGAGGCCACGCCTCCCCGCGCCCGCTGGCATGGAGTGCTCAGTGTCCCACCTGTCGGGACAGAGGGACCTGCCTGACTGGCCTCCTGCCTCGGTCGGAACGCAGAGACCGCGCTTACACTGCAGTCCTCGGGGAGGTTGCAAGTCAGGGCTGCGAAATGCTGGGGTTGCCTATCAGATCAAGGGTTCTGTCAGTACGCCCCCATGGTCACGGCGAGAAAAGGCAATACGCATTTGTTGAGTCCATGAGTTTCCTTCTTCGGACTGGTACGGTCCTCACGGAAGGCCGAGGGGGCGTAGAGCCTAGCACCTCCTCCGCTCCGCTTCCGCTCCCGGCGCGGCCATCTTGCGCGCGGAGGATGCTGGGCGCGGGCAGGTTTTCCAGAGCTAGGCCAGTCATCGGAAGACGAGGCCCTTGGCTTGCCTGATGGGCCTCGTAGTCTTCCGCTCGCTGCTCCCTGGGAATTGGATCTCCCTGCATGTGTGCAGCGAGATGCGACCCATTGGCTCGGCGCACCGTTGCATTATGGTCCTGGTAGTCTTTTGCCGGAACCGAGAAGATGGTGGCTGTCAGGCTTGTGGTCCTTCTCCATGCTCCATGGACTTTCGCCTTTTTGCCCCTCTGGGCTACGTGAACAGCGAGACATAAAAAGGAACGATACGTCGCCCTCTCAGGACTTTCCTCCCTCTTTAAAATTCGAGGACTCACCATTAAGCATCAGGCTTTCCGATACCCCGCCCCCTTCCCGCCTCGAACGATGGTCTAGGGGAGAAGCTGGGTTGGCGGTCCAGGGATGGAGGTGAAACTGCACTTCCTCCTCCCTCCAGGGGCAGGAATACCAGAGACTCTCTGTGAATGAAGCCTTCCCCTGTCTCCGGGCTCCCACTCAGCTCTACTCAGATGTCACCTTCTCGCATGTTAATTGCTAAGTTACTCCCCAGAACCGGTCCTTTGAATAACCTCCTTAAATGTTCTCAGCTCTCCCTTTCTCCTACCTAATGCAATCAGAAGACCGTGAGATTTGAAATCCCAAGAAGCCTTGAGTCCAGGTTCATAGGTTCAGGTGCTTATTAGCTACGTGACTTTAGGACGGTATCTGGCAGCCAATGTTCTGTGGAAAATGGAAATGCTAATGTGCATTTTCTAGGTTTTTTTTTTTTTTTTTGCAAGATGCAAATGAAATATGTATGAAAATCCTTTATTCTCTTCTAATTATATTGCCTCACATTTCTATTGTACTTTTTGAATTCAACGTTTAACTCATTTTGATCCTTTTCAGTAATCCTGAGGAATCAGAGTTGATATTTTATCCCTATTTTATGAATAAGCTCAGGGTGTCACTTGTCCAAGGGCACACAGCTAGTAGGAGAGCTGCGACCTAAGCCTAGACTTTCAACCCCCAGGCCACAGATTTGTGCCTGCTTTCCCTCCCCATGGAGCCAAACCTTGACATATATCCAGAACTGCAGCGACTTGACCCACATTCTGGGTTCATGCTTTACTGTCTGGTAATATATTAGTCACTATCCTAATTCTGCCAGAAATTTCCTCCTAGTTTTACATACATGTATGTCTGCAGCCTCTCAGACAACTGGACTATGAGTTTAGTTTTCGTAGTTGCTCAGTAGATAGATAGGAGGTATTTAAAATAAACTTCATATAAATCTAGGCACTATTAATAATCTGTATCCCACCTCTTAAGATCAAAGTACTTATCCCCATGCTTTCTTCTTTTTTTTTTTTAATTTTTTCCCATGCTTTCTTCTTAACTCTGCTCCACACTCTTCTCCCTCAGAAGTCTTTCTAGCCTAAAGATCACAGCTACTCCCCTCCCCCCACAGCCCTAAGAGCTAGCGCACTTTTGGAGATCAACAGTATATCTGGTGCTACATCCCATAAATTCTCTCTTCCCAGCAGACTGAAATCTGGCTGCTCAAGAGCAAGAACTAACAGACGAAAGATCACTGGGCGGGAGTTGAAAAAACAACAACCACCTGGTGCGGGCTGAGCTTTGAGTTTGCTTGTAACTATTTGTTCCTTTAAGTTATTATTTGTCTGTATATGTCAATAGTTGTATGTTATAGAAAGTAGGATATGGGTTTTTTTCCCAGTATTTTTTAGCCATAATAAAAGTTTTGGCTGAAATACTGTATTCTCTTACTCCTTACCCAATCCCACTGTGCCTCATGACAAGCTGGAAGATTTTGTAAGATCTCACTTCCAGTAGCCATACCAAGCAACTGAACAGGGTCTCCATGCTGAAACTGGATTTTAAAATATCTGCTCTGGAGTATGACAAAGATGTTGGTCAGTCTTCTTCCTGGGATTCACAAAATGCAAGTCTTTCCTCATCTCTTGAGCAAATTAAACTAGCAGAGCAGTTGAGTACAGAGCTCACACATAAGCCACAGATAAGGATCATCACCCCATCGAAGCTTGGATACATAATACATTTATCAAATTATTTCCCACATTTATCAAATTATTTTCTGAGTCCTTTTCCTGGCACTGTCAGACTTTTTTCTGAGTGCTGTCTTTTACCAACAGAAACAGCAGCACACAAAAAGGCTTTGCTGATAGCTCCAGGGTTGTGCCATCCACTTCCACACTGCAGGCTTGGGGATTTCTTAAATGCCTTGAACATCATATCCATGAATAAAACTTTTAATGGTACTTTGTCTAAACCAAATCTGACATTTTCATTATCCTGATAAAAGATCAAGTCTGTGAGATAATTTTGCTGTTTAAAAATACTGTGTAGGGGCTTCCCTGGTGGCGCAGTGGTTGGGAGTCCGCCTGCCGATGTGGGGGACACGGGTTTGTGCCCTGGTCCGGGAAGATCCCACATGCCACGGAGCAGCTGGGCCCGTGAGCCATGGCCACCGAGCCTGCGCATCCGGAGCC